GACTTCCTGCCGTGTAGCGGTATGGCGTGGAGATGGTAGTTGGCATGAGTGCGAAGCGTTTGGCGATGGTGTCGGCATATTTTGCGGCGTTGAGGTAGATCGCGCTTTCTCCTTCCTGGATGTTGAGGCCGAGGTACTGCGTGACGGTAGATGAGACTGTGAGCGTGAGGTCTTTCTGTAGCTCCCCTTCGAACCAGGTAGTGACGTTGTCGGTCGACCCGATGTAGAGTAGATCGTCTACGTAGACGATTAGTAGAATATAGTCGTCGCCTTTCGTGAGCCGGTACATGCCTTGGTCGTGCGGTAGCTGCCGGAATCCGATGCGAGTAAGTCGAGCGTGTAGGTACTGCTGCCACAGTCTTGGGGCCTGTTTGATGCCGTACAATGACTTCAGCAGCTGACAGACGTGATTAGGTTCTCCGTTGGAGCCATGTGGTAGTTTGACGAAGATTTCTGCGTCGACAGGTGCGTAGAGAAATGCGTTGGCGACATCAATTTGTCACAGTCTCTTTTTCTTCATGGCGGCGATCGCGAGGAGAATTCGTAGTGAGGTGTGTCGGCTGACCGGAGCGAATGTCTCGGTGAATTCACGTCCGTGCTCTTGGTCGAAACCGCGTACGACCCAGCGCGCTTTAAACTTGTCGATGGTGCCGTCTGCCTTTGTCTTCACACGGAAGACCCACTTCCCAGTGAGTACTGTCTTGTTTCGTGCCACGCCAATAGGGACAACTTTCCAGGTATTGCGTTCCTCCAGTGCTTTCAGTTCCTTGTCCATGGCTTCACGCCATTTTTCCCTATGCTCCCCCCCCAGAGCCTGCTGAACTGTGGCAGGCTCCTTAGGAGTCTCTGTGCCGTGGACCGCGGTGACGAGGCCGAGTATCTGGAGGCCACTCTGTGTGTAGCGGGGAAGAGTTGTGTCCGCAGGATAAGCTGCTTCGTCACCTGTTTCTGGGTCAGGTATGAAGTTGGGCCATATGCGTTCTGCTTCGTTGGTGTTGACTTCTGCGGGTGTAACGTAACCATTGTCGGCGAAGTGGTAAAATACGTCGTCGTTGGCGCTTTCGCGAGGATTTTCGTCATCCATTGGGACATCGACGGAGCAGTAAGGGAGAGGTCTGGCTTCCTCCGAGGCTTCATCCACGTTCTGCTCGTCCCAGTCAGCTTCATCTGCTGCCGAGGCGAAGGCCCGATCACCACGGAAGCCACATGTGGGGTCCCGATCTTCTTCCAGGTTGGCAAGATACGTCGGAAGGGTGAGTCGTTCGTAGAAAATGACATCACGTGCTGCTACTGTTTCTTTGGAGTGGACGTCGAAAATCTTCCACGCGTTGTAATTTCTTTCGATGCCCAGGTGTAGCCCCCACTGTGCGCGTTGAGAAAATCTTCCGGCTCTTGCAGTGTTTGGGCGATACTGTACTATGCAGCCGAAAACTCTTAACATTTTTGTACTGCCTTGTTTTCTTGTCCACAGCAGGTGCGGTGATGCGTTGTTCGGTAGTGATGACGACGAAAGCAAGTTGTGCAGCATGACGGCGTGGTTCATCGCCTCAGGCCATTGGTGATTGGGCAGTCGCATGCCACGCAGTAATTTGCGCATGGTGTTCTGGAGAGTTCGATTCATCCGTTCTGCCACGCCTTGCTGTTGATGGGCGTAGGGAAGCGAGATGAGCCTCTTGATTCCTCTTTCTGCCAAGTACTGCTTGAACCTCTGTGAGGTGTATTCTCCTCCTCCGTCTGACTGGAAGCTTTTTAGTTTCACGCCTGATTCTCGTTCTGCTACTGGGAGCCAAGCGACGAAGGCCTTGAAAGCCATGTCCTTGCTCGAAAGGTTAAGGTGCCAAACGTAACGCGTAGCGGCATCGATGAACGTGATGGTGTAGCTGTATGCTCCTTGTCCAGGTTCGCGATTGTACAGGATGTCGCTGTACACTTTCTCAAGTGGTGCGTAAGTTGGTGCGCTGGGGTTGTGGTGAGAAGTGAATGGCCGATGTGGTAAGTCAGCTTCGGGGCAGGTAAAGCACGTTCCACGCGCTCGTCGAAGTTCGCTTCCATCGGTTAGGAGTAGTGAATCTTTGTCGAGTACTCCTGCTCTGATTGTGTTGTTTAACACCGTGTTGCTTGGATGTCCCATTCGTGCGTGCCAGATGTCTTCGCTAGCGCGATGTCCGGGTGAGCGACGATACAAGTCGGAGTTGGAGTAGAAGCTTGCGGTGAAGTTTGCACTTCGATGTACTTCTCGTGGTGTTGGGTTAAGCTGTTGCGCAGGAGTCGGTGGAGTGTCGTCGATTTGAGCCGATGCAGTTGACACCTGATGAAGACGTTATTCTTCAGGACCGCCTTCCCGATGAAGAGACCACCTTTCTCGTTATATGACTTGAACTCCTGAGTGGTGCTATCTGCTTCGAGGTGTATGCCCTTCGCCATCAGTTGACTGACGCTTAGTAGGTTGTAACCGAGCCCTTCTGCTATTAAAACCTTCGACATCTGCAGTATGACGTTTGTTTCTCATGACTAAAGTTGCACTACGCCTTGTTGTCGTGTGCGCAGATTCTGATTGTTGGCGACGGTGATGACGACCTCGTGTTGAAGTTGGTGTTCACGTTGAACAAAGCGTCCTGAAGAGCACATATGCTGTCCGCAGCAGCTGTCTAAGAACCACGTATCTTTCCCGGACGGCTCACTTTGAGCGATAGCTGCATATGTCGGATTTGGTTGAAGTGACTCGCGGCGAGGCGTGCTGTTGTCGAGTTGCTCTTTCGGTGAGTAATGTGGTGGTGACTCTGTGATGCAGGAATCGGTCAGCCGTGCCATGCAACTGACGATGTTTCTTGTTCCTTGCGTAGGTTGTCCCGTCGATGTTGTTGAGGCTTGTACTTGAGAGGTCGGATTCGCTTGCGTTGAGGCGACTTGGCTGCTTGAAGGGCGAAGCGGCCGGTTTGGGCAGTGTGTACGGGGGTGACCTGACGTCTTGCAAAGGTGACAGAACGGAGGTACTGGTTTCGGTTGATGCCGATAGTTGTTGTTGTTGTAGCGCCGTTGAGTGTGGAATGCGAATTCGGGCACTGATGCCTTCTTCTTGTGTCGTTCTTCTTGCAGGTCCATATCTTGCTGCTCAGCGTGGATCTCGGCGCAGAGTGTTGCTTCTGATATTTTTCCGTGGGCTCGGAGTATGGCGCGGGTGGAGCGCCACTGAGGACCGAGATTGCCGATGATGACTGTGACGAAGGCGTCTTCTGAGATCGACCCTCCGCATCGAAGGAGTTTGTCGCGCAATTCGCGACAACGGCTGATATACGCCATCCCCTTTTCGCCCGGTTTCATTTCGACGGTCGTCAGTTGCGCCATTAACCGACTTTGATTGACTCTGTCTGTTGCTTGATACAGGTTCTCAGGTGGTTGTACGCGAGCTCTGCAGAGTTGCCGTATCCCTGGTAAGACCGTATATTCTGCTGCTGATTCGGAGTGATGTTTCTCAGTAGTATTGTGTACGCCATCATTGACTGATACGTGTATTGCTGCTTGTCGTACTGTGTGCCGTGTGTTGGATATGGCAGGGACCCGTCGAAGAAGCCAAGAATCTGCGCGCCTTCCATCATCAGTTCGAATTCGAATGACCAGGTAAAGAAGTCCTTTCCGTCGAATGGTCTTAACGTTTGCAGTTTTAAAACGTGCGCAAAATGCGACTGAACTTGAAGTGCATCTAGTGTCTTCTCTTGCTCAGGTGAAGGCTGCTGGCGCGGCATGAAGCTGACGGAGCCGCGCTGAGGTTCGTACGGGGCGAAGGTAGGTTGTTGCTGATTTCCTCGTGCGTAAGATGAACCGTCGAGGCTCATCGGTGTTGCGTTGTTGTTGTTGCTGTTGTTTGACTGTGCAGGTGCCCCTTGCTGGTGTTGTTCGTAGAAGGACATGAAGGAGAAGATTTTTTCCATCATGTCTGGGTCGAAGGCCGCGGCTTGATTTGCGGGAGTTTCTGAAGACGTTGCTCTTGGCCTTGTTGCCGTACCCTCCTCTGTCTGTAGACCAGAGGCAGGTGGTGGAGTAGGAGTAGTACCGGGAGAGCCGTTAGAGGAGCTTCTCTCCTTCTGTGTTGCCATGCCTTGTGATGTTGTGGGTGTCTTAACTGTAGTTGAATTTGTCCTGATAGCTCTCATACCATGTTGGGCTGAGAAAAGCCCTTAGGATCTTTGCAGGACTAAATTCAGGGTAGGACAATGTGATAGCGGAAGCGTTAAATAAAAGACTTGTGAACCACCTTGCGCTAGTATGTGAGGGCAAAGTAGATTGATTAATAGCAAAGAGATACAAGCTTTTATAAGAATACAAGGGAATATGAAGGGTTATAACTAATAACCGTTTTACCATTGCTGTTGCGGTTCGATACAGTGACGACTCGGGCAACTGCTCAATAGCGAGTCAGTTGTTTGTCCTTGCTGTCGCGCTGTACTTGTCAGGTCAAAGGTCGCTGACCTTTGACTTTCGCGTAACCTCCAGCAGTTGTTCAACATCTGAGGGTTGACTCGCTGATGCTTCGATATGTTCTGCTTCGCTTCTGACTTGGTGCTTCGACACGACAGAGGCGCTTAAATCAATTGTTTCCAACACTGCCAAGGCTGATGCTTGGAGTGAATGGATGGATTTCAACTTAGAGCCTTGGCTTGGCAGGTTCACGGAATCGGTATCGGAGCTGTTGAAATCGGAGGTTCCAAAAGGATAGGTGTGTGGGTTGCACATCCATAGTTACTTTGGCATGAACACAAAACTAGGCATCACTGCATAAAGTTTTCGGAGGGGGGGTGGGTATATGTGTTCCAGCAGAAGTGCTGGTAAAAATGCACACCTTAACCTGTTTAGGTCAGAAAGATGAACGTGTTCAGCAGGACTCGAACCTGCGCGGGCAGAGCCCAACAGATTTCTAGTCTGTCCCGTTAACCACTCCGGCATAAGTTTAAAAATATTGTATTTTAAAAGTCAGGCCTACATCATACGCGCTTCGTCCTTGCATGGCGGCTCAAACGTCCTTAGCGGATCTTACGGCAGACTGCTTCGCGCACTGCTGCCGATGGCTCTCTCCCCGCGACCTCGTCAACCTCTCCTTTTGCTGCTCGTCGCTTCGCCAACTGGCCAATACCGATGCACCGTGGGCATGCCAGGTGGCACATCAGGGAGCACTACCACGCCAGGTTCGCATATAACTCGTGTACTCAGCGCATCAAGTTTCTCATAGTTTTTGGAAAAAATAAGGTTCCGGAAGTGAGTTTTTAGGCGAACTCCCTTAACGTTCTCCTCCTCCTTCTTTCCCTTCCCCTCCCATTCCCCTTCACCTTCCCCCTCCCTTTCTCTTCCCCGTTCTCCTTCCCCTTCTCCTTCCTCTCCCCCCTCCCCTTCCCCCTTTCCTTTCCCCCACTCCATGCCCCGTGTTTCCATGCTTCAGGTCGCGCTCCTCTCAGGATTCCGTGAGGCTTTCATAAAGCGCCACGTGGCAGCACAGAAGCTGCAGATCGCCGACCCTGCCACGTGCGCATGGCCCCTGTCTGGGGACGCAAGGGGGGACGCAGCAGCAGCAGGAGGCGGAGGAGAGGGGGACGGGGGAGGGGAAGGGGCGGCAGCAGCAGCATGGGGATGGGGTGGGCCAGGGGGAAGGGGAGGGGGAGTTAGGGGGGGAAGAGGTGGGGGGCAGGGCGGCGGTGGGGAAGGGGAAGCGCAGAAGCCTGTGAGCGCTGTGGTGGTGCTGCAGGGGGGCGGAGGCCTTTCCGCCATCCCCGCTTTATCCTCAGTTTCAGTCCCAGGCGCTGGGGAGGGTGATGAGTGGGACGAGGAGGGAGGGGAGGAGGGGGAGGGGAGGGGGAAGGAAGGGAGGGAAGGAAGGCATCATGTGGTGGCAGTTCAGGTATGCTCCTTAGATTGTGTTTTTGTCTCTTTGGCTCTGTTTTGTTTCTGTTTTTGTTATTGTTTTTGTTTGTTTGTTTTTTTTTTTTCAGTTCCCCTTGTACCTCTTCCTTGTCGTGTTTATCCATTCATAGCCTGGGTGTTGTTTTCTCGTTGTTCTGTTTTGTTCTCCTTTTTTTTTTTTTTTTTTTTTTTTTGGCCTTCTCTCTTTCACCCTTTCGTGTCACTCGTTGGTTCAAGTGTCGCTCGCTCACACCTCCCCCCACAACAAGGCGCATCACAGCAGCAATAATTAACTCCAAACACCTGCCTTGCCTGCAAAACGATTGAACGTTTCGAATCCTTCGTCAACGGTATAGAATTTACCCAACCCAACCACTCCCGGTGGGCCTCTCGCCCTTCCCTGCTTCCCTCCTTCATGGCTCTTGCCCCACCCACCCAACCACCTCCCTTGCGCGAGGGCTCCAACGTTCTCCTGTGGAGGGCTCAACGCACAGCGCCAGCGGGACGGGTGCAGGTGTCAGCAGTGTTCACGCCGCACAAGGGGCGCATCACAGCTTTGAGACGTCTCAAAGGGGCGCATCACAGCTTTGAGACGTCTCAAAGGGGCGCATCACAGCTTTGAGACGTCTCAGAGGGGCGCATCACAGCTTTGAGACGTCTCAGAGGGGCGCATCACAGCTCTGAGACGTCTCAGAGGGGCGCATCACAGCTTTGAGACGTCTCAGAGGGGCGCATCACAGCTTTGAGACGTCTCAAAGGGGCGCATCACAGCTTTGAGACGTCTCAAAGGGGCGCATCACAGCTTTGAGACGTCTCAAAGGGGCGCATCACAGCTTTGAGACGTCTCAAAGGGGCGCATCACAGCTTTGAGACGTCTCAAAGGGGCGCATCACAGCTTGGAGACGTCTCAAAGGGGCGCATCACAGTGCTGCTCAGCTGGATCTCGCTGTTCACGCCGCACAAGGGGCGAATCACAGCGCTGCTCCCACTGGACCTCTCCCCCTTCCCTGCCTTCTCCCCTCATGACCCTTTCTGACCCCGGCACCTACCCACCCACCTCTCTTGTATGCAGGGCTCCAATATTCTCCTGTGGGGAGCAGCAGCAGCAGCATCAGGAAGGGTGCGGCCGTCAGCAGTGGGGGAAGCTGGCCTGTCAACAGTGTTCACAGCACACAAGGGCCGAATCACAGCGCTGCTCCCAGTGGGCCTCTCGCCCTTCCCTGCCGCTGCCCGCCTCGCCCCGCCCCTCCCCGCCCACACCTTCCTCCTCTCCACCAGCCTGGACCGCACTCTACGCCTCTGGGGCAAGGTGAGAGATAATTGCGAGGTGAGGGGCAAGGGTGAGATGGGGCAAGGGTGAGATGGTTCCATCATGCCTCTTGTCTTGCCTCGCGCCTGTGCTCTCTCTCTTGCTCCTCCCACACCAGCCTGGACCGCACTCTGCGCCTCTGGGGCAAGGTGGTTAGCTATGTTGGTTTGACTTTTGAGACTTTTGACTTTTGAAAGTCAAACCAACCCAACCTGGACCGCACTCTGCGCCTCTGGGGCAAGGTGAGAGACACGGTCCGTTCCGGTAAGGTAAGATGAGCTGCTTCCATCCTGTCTCTCTGCTTCTGTCCTGTCTCTCTGCTTCCATCCTGTCTCTCTGCCTCCATCCTGTCTCTCTGCTTCCATCCTGTCTCTCTGCTTCCATCCTGTCTCTCTGCCTCCATCCTGTCTCTCTGCTTCCATCCTGTATCTCTGCTTCCATCCTGTCTCTCTGCTTCCATCCTGTCTCTCTGCCTCCATCCTGTCTCTCTGCTTCCATCCTGTCTCTCTGCCTCCATCCTGTCTCTCTGCTTCCATCCTGTCTCTCTGCCTCCATCCTGTCTCTCTGCCTCCATCCTGTCTCTCTGCTTCCATCCTGTCCCTCTGCCTCCATCCTGTCTCTCTGCTTCCATCCTGTCTCTCTGCTTCCATCCTGTCTCTCTGCCTCCATCCTGTCTCTCTGCTTCCACCCTGTCTCTCTGCCTCCATCCTGTCTCTCTGCCTCCATCCTGTCTCTCTGCCTCCATCCTGTCTCTCTGCTTCCATCCTGTCTCTCTGGTTCTGCCTCGCCCTTCGCCCTTCATCTCGCCCCTCCCCGCCCACACCTTCCTCCTGTCCGCCAGCCTGGATCGCACACTGTGCCTCTGGGGCAAGGTAAGAGTGGCAGCTCGTTTTTGCACTTCCATCCTCGCCCCTCTCTTAAGGGTCACCCTGACTCATGTTTCGAAGGGCTGCAGTAGTAGAGAGGACGCTTAAGCAAAGGAATCAAACAGTGAAAAAAGGTGAGAAAAACGCAGATCTGAAAAAACCCTTAGCTTCCGAAAAGCCTCCTTGCGTAAACTAGTTTCGGCGGATGGGCGAACCCAATCACGCCTTCATCAGTACAGCACAATTCGGAACTCGTTTTTGCGGATCCCTCGGGGGCAAGGTGAGAGTGGCAGCTCGTTTTTGCACTTCCATCCTCGCCCCTCTCTTCCCCCTCGTCCCGTGCCCCTCATCCCCCCCTTCCCCTCCCCGCCCTCACTTTCCTTCTCTCTGCCAGCCTGGACCGCACTCTGCGCCTCTGGGGCAAGGTGAGAGGCAAGGGGAAGTGAGATGGTTTCATCCTGCTGCTTGTCTTGCCCCGCCCGTAGCCCCTCGGCACCTCACGCCCTTGCTTCGTCCCGTAATATACCGCCCTCTCTGCCCTCTGCTGCCCTCTGCTTCCCTCTCTGCCTTTTCTGCCCTCTTCTTCCCTTTCTCCCCTTTGCTGCCCCACCCAGACCACCTGTCTGCACGCCTTCTCAGGGCACACGGGCCCCATCCTCTGCCTCTCAGACCGCATCATAGGAAGCAGAACTGAGACTTCGGGACCTACTTTCTCCTCTTCTTCTTCTTCTTCCCCCTCTTCCTCTTCTTCCTCTTTCCTCCCTTGCATCGCCACCGGCGGCAGCGACAGCACCGTTCGCATCTGGTCCCTCCTCCCGTCAGGTATGTATGCTTCTTCTATCGCCCCCCTTCTCCCTTTTTGAGGCGCCAAAAAAACATACCTCTTCAATATCGCCCCAGCTCTCCTCTCTTTAATAGAACTTGTTATTATTTCCTCTCTTTCTTCTTTTTTTCTCTCTCCTTTTTTACAACCATCCTCCTCTCCCCTCCGTCACATCACTGTCAGCCTACCTCATCCCTGCTTGTACCCTCCTTTTACCTGTTCCTCCTCCCAAAGCCTCTGCCCAATCCCCCCTACCAAACCCTCTGCCCAATCCCCCCTACCAAACCCTCTGCCCAATCCCCCCTACCAAACCCTCTGCCCAATCCCCCCTACCAAACCCTCTGCCCAATCCCCCCTACCAAACCCTCTGCCCAATCCCCCCTACCAAACCCTCCAGCCAACCATATTCTCTCTACTTCCCCTGCTTCCCTTGTCACAATTCCCCCTCCCCCACCTTGCAGGGAAGGGGCGGTCATCATGTGTTGCCGCACTGAAGGGCCACGAGGGGCCAATCGCTGCTCTGGCTGTTGCCACGTGGGTGACTTGTCTCTTGCACAAGCTTGGATGCAGCGCATCAGTATTTTTGTCTTTTTCATCTGAGTTGACTTTTGAGTTGACTCAAAAGTCAACTCGGGGCCGATCGCTGCTCTGGCTGTTGCCACGTGGGTGACTTGTCCCTTGAACAGCACAAGCTGGCATACAGTGCATCAGTACTTTTCTCTTTTCATCTGCCCTTCCCTTGTCTCCCTCGTGCCATCATACTCCCTCCCTCCTCCACTCGCCTTCACTCGTCTGTTGGTGGGGCACTGGGCTTGTTCCCAGTTGAGTGTGGGCGGGCTACAGGGGCGTTCTAGAGGGTTGTGGGTGTGCCACACCAGACAAAAACATGCCCTTGTAACCCAATTGGTAACAGGCTGGACTGGACCAACATGCCCTGCACCCTTTACCTCATTTTCATTTACCCTCCTCACACCCTCCTCACGCCCTCCTCACGCCCTCCTCACGCCCTCCTCACGCCCTCCTCACGCCCTCCTCACGCCCTCGTCTCAACCTCACCCTTCGCCCTCCCCATCCCTCATGCCTGCCAGTCACATCCTTCTTTTGAAACGTCTCAAAACTCTTTGTGCTCTCCTCTCAACCCCACACACCCCCCCCCCCCCCCCCTCTCTCCCCCTCCCTCATTGCAGGCACAACCCATTCCTTCTGGCGAGTGTTGCACGTGACGCCAAGGTGAGCATGGCCCGGATGATCTTTCTGATGATATTTCCCCAATGTGTAATGAGTCGTGTTTTGAGTTGACTCAAAACACGGCTCTTGTTGCATGTGACGCCAAGGTGAGCATGGCCTGGATGATCTTTCTCCAACCTGGCTATAGGATGATGTCAAACTCCAGTTTGTTTATTTTCAGCTTACCCTCCTTCCTTTTGGCTAGTGCTGCTTTGAATGGTAAGGCAAGATTCTCCCCTCCCTCATTCTCTCGCTACAGTGAGGAAAAGTGAAAATTCTAAAATGTCATCAATCAATCCACTCAGTTGTGTTGCAAATCTATCCCTTTGTCTCTGTTACGATCAATTGCCAATCAGCTGCGACTGTGAAATTGCCGCCACATAGTTCCTTCCACCATCACCCCCACCCCCACCTCCTCTTCCTCCTACTTCTATTTAACGGGCAGCTCTGAAATAGATTGATCTGCTGTATGCTTTTTGTTTCCCATTCCAATCAGCTGCGACTGTGGGATTGCCGCCACATAGTTCCTTCCACCATCACCCCCACCACCACCTCCTCATCCTCCTCCTCTTCCTCCCCTTGCATCGGCACGTATCGCACTCCCACAGCCCCCTTCGCTCTCCTCCCGCTCCCACCTCACCGATCCCATGCATTGTGCCTCGTGGTGGGCAGAGGAGGCATAGCGGCCGTGGATCTTCTTTCAATGAAACAGGTATGGTACGGTCCAGTACGATATGGTAGGGTAGGGTAGGGTAGGGTAGGGTAGGGTAGGGTAGGGTATGGTAGGGTAGGGTATGGTAGGGTAGGGTATGGTAGGGTAGGGTAGGGTAGGGTATGGTAGGGTAGGGTATGGTAGGGTAGGGTATGGTAGGGTAGGGTAGGGTATGGTAGGTTAGGGTAGGGTATGGTAGGTAGGGTAGGGTATGGTTTGGTATGGTATGGTATGGTATTGGTATGGTATTGGTATGGTATTGGTATGCTGTGGTATGGTATGCTATGGTATGCAATGGTATGCCATGCTATGCTATGCTATGTTATGCTATGCTATGCTATGCTATGCTATGCTATGCTATGCTATGCTACGGTACGGTACGGTAGGGTATGGTATGGTATGGCATGGTATGGCATGGCATGGTATGGTACTGTACGGTACGGTACAGTATGGAATGGTACAGTACGGTATGGTATGCTTGTTTGTATGCCTGTATACCAAGCCGAGTTCTGGGGCGTCTCAATTCTCGCATAACCCTTAACATCCCGAATCCCTCGGTTCTTTTCCCCTCCACCTTACTTCCTCCCTTCTCGTCCGCCCTTCAGGTTCTAGCCCTCCCATGCGGGTCCTCCCCCCTCTCCTCCTTCGCCTCCTCGCCATCACGCTGCATCGTTGCAGCGGGTTCCGAGGATGGCTGTGTCAGGCTGTGGCGCATGGGGCAGGCACGCAATGGAGAAGCAGCGGGTACGGTCCATATGGCCTCGGAGTTTGGGCCAGGAGGGCAGGTATCAGCAGGCATGCGAGAATCTAAAGTGCTCTCAAACTGCCAGGCAGGCGTGGCTGAGTTCAGGCTGCTCGCCTGCTCAAAAGCGCACAACAGTACAGTGGATTTACTGTACGTGGACGGTTATAAGTGCATCAGTGGGAGCCGAGGGGACGGAGTGTTGTGTGTGTGGGATGTGGAGACTGGGGAGGAGATTCGCACGTTGGACGCTACTGTTCTCCCCCCCTGGCTGGTGGAAACCGATGATGCTAGTAACGAGGGTCATGGTGATGGTGGTGGTGGTGGTGGTGATGCTGCTGCTGGTGGTAACCTTACAAATGCTGGTAACCGCAGCGATTCAACAGCGGATGTTGACCTTATAGGGGAAGGTGGCGCTACAGCTGATGTTGCGACTGCTGGCGAAAGTAGGGGCAATGCTCCCGAGACGGTGAGGCGAGTTCTAGTGGAGAGTATGCATGCATGTGGGGGTGTGGTAGTTGCTGCCTTGGTGGGCTATCGCAGGAGGGCTGTGCTCGGGAGGAGGATGCAACAACATGTGGTGGAGGAGGTTGAAGGCAGATGGATGCGATTGTGGGATTTCACATGTGGTAAAGATTTATTGTTTGATGATGGTATTTTTTTCAGGGAAGACGATGAGGCTTTGATAGTGGGTGGCGGAAAATTCTGGTAGTACTGGTATTAGAGCCTGATGTATATGCCCTTTTGGTGATGATTAACTTGGGTTGTCATGGATATTGATCATTAACTTAGGTTGTCTGGAGGTACCTATGTGCTTCGTGGTTATAGCGGAATACTATAATTCGCGCCACAGCCTGTCCTGGACTTTCGTCAACGCTTCACCACCAAAACCAATGAAAATTCTGTCGTAGACTGGACGAAAACGCTGCCGCGCCGTAACCATGCCCTGCGACTGCGACACAAGCATCAAGACTTGCCATGTTCATCTCTTCCATCAAGAGGGCAATCTAGCATTTCATAAATGTGGGTATGTCTTTAAAGTTGTGGAAAATCAGGCAATCTAGCATTTCCTAAATGTGGGCTTTTTGTGTCGCATTTTGATATGAAAGACGATCCTACAATAGTTCATGCTGGGAAGTATTTGGTTGACGATCCGTCATGCCCTTGCAGACCCATTTTGCCCGCATGCTCTCGATATGGCTTCGATGTATCTACCTGCCATCAAAGACGTGAGTAATTTACATTTTAGACCTGAAAAATGTTGATTACCATAAATAATTAGAATTTAAAAGGTTCAGGGCATTCAGGGCATTTTACCTCGTATCAACAGCCCTTCTCCTCACCACTTTTTTCGTTGCTTTCGTGCGGGGCTGCGGATTGACCGCAACGAGATGACTCTCGTGGATTTCATTCCAAGCCACACAGCTCCCCCAACGCTGTAGAGAAAATGAACCGCATTCGACCTCTTTTTTCACTGTACACGTAGCTGATGCTCTCTCTGTCGTGCTTGGGGGAACAGTCCACCCACCCCCTTGCTCGTCTCATCCAGTCCAAGCCGGACTGATCATCAGCAGTGGTACATGTGAGGGGAATGGAACTAGTGGATGGGTGAGGTGAGGGGAAGTTGACATTTGTGTGATGTCGAAGTGAACACAGTGGTTTTATTCCTAGTGTACTGTCCTGGACCCTGCAGGGCTGCACTCCTCGCTCTAGTCTAGGTCTTTCTCTAGCTCCAAGCATCGGTGACGGTAGTTATTGCGAGAAGATGCACGACTGACGTTCTTTTCCGCGGCTGTGTTGCTTGCGGTGTCTCACCCCCTTTGTCCCCCACGTCTGCCAGCTTATTATCCCTTGCGCTGCGACGCAACATTATCACGCGCCGATGTTGTCACTATCCGGCATTAATTAACCCAACAGGGTAGCGTCTGTCATCGCCATGGCCTTCATCTATTTATTAGCCGGGTTTTGAAGTAATTTCGCGCGAGACGATTCACCATACTACACTTGCAACCCTAATGCGGGGGTACCACGCGTCGGTGTCTCCATCTTCGTGTTTCGGGTACCAAGCAGCAACGAATATTTTTGTTTCAAGAATCCACTGAAACTCGCCCGGTGACAGCAACGATCCGCTATCGCACATCTCGCTGCTACAAATAGTCCTCACCGCGTCGTCTGATGCCTCGAGGGAGACTCCAGGCATCGTCGGTGCGTATATTCCGCGCATTGTCCCGCCCCTTATCTTCTCTTAATCCGCTCGTGTTCCCATTCCACCTCGGAACTACAAATATAATATGCTTCCGCATTCGTGTACCGGGTTATCTTTGTTTTTTGTTTTGTTTTGTTTTTTGTTTTTTGTTTTGTGTGAGGACCGCAGGTGGTGTCGTCGAAGAAGGTGCGGCAACAGCAGCAGGAGCAGCAGCATCAAATCCCGGAACCTCCGTCATTCTACCGCACCGCTCAGAACACCTCAAAAAACGCCCGACCCCAGCTCCCCGCCTCCTCCGTGCCTCCAGCCTACCCTTTCGAACCTCGCGATTCCTCTTTTGATCATCTCGCTTCATCTCCCGAGCCTCCTCGGCCGACGCTTCGTTCACACGGTCCGCACGACGAGCCTCCTTACAGTCATATTGTCGAGTCACGTTATAGCGAGTCTTCCCACCCAGCACGATCACAGCAGAGTGAAGATCGGCAAACCCAAGGCCGTACTTCGAGGGTTGATAAGGTCGGATATTACAATGATTCAGCACCACAGCGGGATTACATGCCACAATCGAAGCAGAGTATACCGGAGGGAGCGAACGGCACGAGCTACAGGAGTCATGGAAACAGCAGCGGTGGTAGCAGCAGCGGGTTTCAAACTCCGCCGTCCGATATTAGTCCCGGTTCTGCATCCCCGTCATTAGCTCAGCGTCCATCTCAATCTACGGCTCACCGCATCTCTGAAACGGAATCCGGCCGTCAGAATGGTAACGGCCGCGAATCAGAACGGAACGACGGCCGTCGGGGAATAAACGGTCACCGTCTTCATGACGCTGACCATCATTACCAGCCCGCCGCTGCGGCTGAACCCGCAGAAATCTCTTTCCGAATGCACTCCCCTTCGCATCCAAACAGAACCGTGTCTCCCCCCGGTCCAGAAACAGCCATTCGCAACCCATTAAGGCCGTCCTCGCGAAGGGCTTCCTCGGAAAACACGTTCCCCGGCCCCATTGCTTCCCCCTCAGGTGGACCGTCCGATTCCGTTCTCACCGATCTCTCCTCCGCTATTGCTCTCTGCAACCGCATCGTCCATCTATCAGGCCCTTACTCTACCTCTACTTCCCCTCACCGGCACTCCGCCTCCCTCCCCAGTTCCCCCTCCGCCTCCCCTTTCCGCGCGACCGGCCCCCCTCTTCCCCCGATTCGAAACGCCGCCCTCCGTATAGCTGCCGAACGTGTTTCGAAACGAACCAAGCAGCTCCTGCCGATCCTGATTCAGCTGCAAGGTCCGGCAGCAGTGAACCTCGCTTCCGATCCTCGTGCGTTGTTTATCATCCAACGGCTGTTAACGGAGCTAGAAACCACTGTAACTGCCCTCGAGGCATGTAACAGATCGAGCAAATCTCCATTCGCAGGTCTGTTCCGCTTCTTTGGCAGGCAGCATTTGTCTTTATCCGCCTTCTCTTCCAAAACCCGTACTGGTAGCCATGCCAAACCTCTTGCCGGACCCAACCCGGTTGCTTTGGACGACCCGCCTCCGCTTTCCCGAGCCTTATCCTCAGCCTCGATCTGCTCGATCCATTTCACCTCCTCCTCCGGTTCCTCCTCCTCCGCTCTTGCCTCTCAGCTAAAAGCGTGCTTAGCTGAGATTCGCCAGTGCCACACGGAGTGCCTACTCCTGCTCGGACAGGGTTCCACAGTTTATAGGCGCACTCAGAGCGTTGGAGGGAGGAGCTCATTGGGAGGGGAGGAAGACGGCGGAGGAGTCAGAGCAGGGGGAGGCGGAACAGGGGAAGGCGGGTATGGAGTGGGAGGAATGGGAGGGGGCGCACTAGGAGGGGAAGATTTTGGAGGAGGACCAGGAGAAACAGGTGAAGGGTATGGGTATCAGCAGCAGCAGGAGCAAGAGCAGCAGCAGCAGCAGCAACAGCGCAGGCGGAGGAGCTTAGAGGACGTTCCATTTCCTTCAAGTTCCATGGTTGATAAGTCTTTATTTCTGGCTGGTGGCCGAGGCACTGCGGGGGCTACTGGGGTGGGTAGAGGTGAGCAGAGTGATACCAGGGGCGCTAGCAGCTCTGCTGGTACTGCACGCACCTCATCTCTTAACTCCTCTGCCGCCGCCGCCGCCGCCGCCGCCGCCGCCGCCGCTGCTGCTGCTGCTGCGGTTGGCGCTAGTGATGATGCTGGTAGGGGTCGCGCTTCCGCCACAGCCTCACCGCCTGCTGCGGCGACTTCTTCCTTAGCTCCCAGTAAGCAAACTCCCAGTAGGCAAGGTTCCAGGAACAACCGCACTCACAGCGGCACCAGAGCCTCCAATCCCGCCCTAGCAACCGCCCACCCAGGGACGCTTCCCCCTCGCTCCCCTCCTACCCCTCTCACCACCTCCCTCCCACCGACCCCCCCACACCAGCCCACCCGCCTTCCCCTCTCAGCCGCCTCTTCCCCTCGTAGTTCCACCGCCACTGGCACTTCTGTCTTTTCTGCCGGCCCAGCTGCCGCCCGCCAGCTGGTCGTCTCACTCTCCCGGGGATCTGCGCTGGAAAAGCGGACGGCGCTAGCGGCGCTTTTGGACTTATCTGAGTCGTCGGATGCGGGGAAGCTGCACGTGACTGCAGCAGGGGTGGTTCCTGTGATTGCTGTGCTGCTCAGTCATCCGGACCTGGGAGCCAGCTTCGGCAGCAGCAGCTTCGGAAGCAGCGGGGGCGCAGCGGGGATAGGTGGTGCAGGTGGTCCTGTTGGCGTAAGCAGGACCGGGAGTGGTACCAGGAGTTCTAGAACGTCGAGCATAGGGGAAGAGCTTAAGCTAGTCTCCCTGCAACTGCTCCTATCGCTCGTTTCTCTTGACGAGAACCGAGCCGTGGTGGTGAAGGCTGGGTGCGTCGCGATCCTAGTCAGCATCCTCCGAACCGGATCGCTGGGCCTGCGCGCCGTGGTTGCGCGGGTGCTTTGGAAGGTGGCAGTGGGGGGAGGGGGAGGGGGAGGGGGAGGATTAGTGGGAGGGGGAGGGGGAGGGGGAGGGGGAGGGGGAGGGGGAGGGGGGGGGCGGCGATAGCTCCAGGGCGGCGATCGTGGCGAGTGAGGCGATTCTGTCGCTGGTGGCGATTCTGCAGTCGCAGACAGACGGTGCGGTGAAGCAGGATGCTGCTGATGCCATTGCGCACCTCACAGCCAACAACGAGAAGAACCAGGTGAGGCGGAGAAGGGGGGTGGGTGGGCTGGGGCGGGGGTGCGTGAAGGGGTTTTAGGCAGTGTGCAGATGCGATCATGCACCCCACAGCCAACAATGAGAAGAATGAGGGCGAGAGAGGAGGGAGGGTTGGGCATTTGTGGGGGGGGTGTGAGAGTGCGTGCGTGGAGGGGTTTTAGGCAGTGTGCAGATGCGATTGCGCACCTCACAGCCAACAACGAGAAGAACCAGGTGAGGTGGAGAAGGGGGGAGAGCTGTGCTGGGTAATGAGTGCGTGGAGGGGTTATGGGCTGTGCGGCTAACGCGATTGCGCACCTCACAGCCAACAACGGGAAGAACCAGGTGAGGATGAGAGAGGAGGGAGGGTTGGGCAGTTGTGGAGGGGGTTGTGACAGTGTGTGCGTGGAGGGGGTTTGGGCAGTGCAGCTGACGCGATTGCTCACCTCACAGCCAACAACGGGAAGAACCAGGTGAGGTGGAGAAGGGGAGAAGGACTGGGCTGGGTAATGAGTGCGTGGAGGGGTTTTGGGCTGTGCGGCTGACGTGATTGCTCACCTCACAGCCAACAACGAGAAGAACCAGGTGGGGCTGAGATAGAGAGGGGGAGGGTGGGGGGTGGGGCGGTGTGGGAGGGCTGGGCTGTGCTGTGAATGGAAGAAGCAGATGCGATATCACACCTGACAGTTGAGGGAAAATTTTGTCACGGCCGTGCAGCTGCCACAAGTAGCAACGAACAAGTTTGGGTCTTACAGGTGATCGAATCTTTGTTTGAGTCAAAAGTGGAGTTGAGGGGAAGTATTTGTCACGGCCGGCTTTGCAGCTGTCACAAGTAGCAATGTACAAGTTTGGGTCTTTCAGGTGAGCAACTCACCCGACAGCGAGTGTGTGCGTGTTTCAGCGAGACGGCAGCACAGGCGAGCAGTCAGCATAGGCGAGCAGGCAGCACAGGCGAGCAGGCAGCATAGGCGAGCAGGCAGCACAGGCGAGCAGGCAGCACAGGCGAGCAGGCAGCACAGGCGAGCAGGCAGCACAGGAGGGGCGGCTCTGGCGCTGGGCATGGTGGCAGTGAACAGCAGAGACAACAAGCTCGTGATCTCCCCTCCCTTCCTCCCTTCCACTGATACTACCCTCTTTCCCACCCTTCCATGCACATACCCTCTCTCGTCTCTCCCTACCTCCCCCTCTCCCCTCGTCCCCACTTCAGATGGCAGTGGTGGAAGCGGGTGCAATCCCAGCGCTGGTAACCATGCTACGAGACGGCAGCACGGGCGAGCAGGAGAGGGCGGCTCTGGCGGTGGGCACGCTGGCAGTGAACAGCAGCGACAACAAGCTCGCAATCGCTGCTGCCGGCGCCGTGCCTCTGCTGCTCGACCTCCTCTTCCACTCAGTTGCTGCTGCTGCTGCTGCTAACTCTGCTTCTTCAGGGCGCTCAGGGCGAACAGGGCGATCAGGACAAGAAGGTCAAGAAGGGCAAGCAGAGCAAGCCTCCTCTGTGGAACCTTCTCCTCGAGCTGCCACAGCATCGGTCTCTCTCCCGCCCTTCCACTCCGCTTCCTCCTCCTCCTCGCATCCTTCCCCTGCCGCCACCGCCAAGACCTGCGCCTGGACGCTCTACGTCCTCTCCTCCGACTCTGTCTCCGCCTCGTTCATCCTCGCTAATGACGGGCTCGAGATAGTGTATAAGGTGTACAAGGAAGGGCCGTCGGAAGCGCAGTTCTGGGCGGGGCACATGCTGCAGCTGCTGGATCCCACGTTCCGGCGCCCTGAGAAGCAGGCTAGCTCTAGGAGGTATGCCTGGACCTCTCCTTCCTCTTCCTTTGTCCAGAAGCAGCAGCAGGTGCAGCAGCAGGCTGTGGTGCCACCGGCGCCGGTGCAGCAGTTTCCAAGAAACTTCTCAACTGATAGTCTTCAGCAGTCGCTCGCAGCACAGCAGCAGCAGCAGCAGAGCCAGAACCAGAATCAGAATCAGAATCAGCAGCAGCTGGTGGCACGGGGTGCTCCCCTGCGGCCGAAAGTCCCGCTGCAGCATTCGCTTTCGAAGATTGGGGCAATGAAACAGCCAAAGTCGCGATTTGTAACGCAGTGGTAACGTCATGAGCCACGGTTCTTGCAAGAGGCGCCTCAGAAGCATGTGCAGTCGAGGATCAGGGCACTGCGGAAGCCAAGGTCAATTTTTTAGGCGCCAAAAAAATCGTCACAGTTGCGTCGGATAAAAAAGTATGTGCGGCATTCACAGTCGAGGATGGGGCATGAGGGCTCTGCGGTAGCCAAGGTCGCAATTCAAACGGCAGCAGTAACGCTGCGAGCGAGCCATGATCCGAGACGGGGGAGAGCTTTGCAGCGCTTTTAGACATCTCAAACCTCGATTTGCAGTGCCGAGTGGCATCATGAGATGGGGAGACGGCTGCAATGGGAAGGCTGTGGGGAGTGGGGGGAAAGGGGGGGTGGGGGGGAGGGGGGAGTGAGGGGAGTTTGTTGGAGAGCCAGGGGAGGAGGGGGGAGTGAGGGGAGCTTGTGGGAGGAACTGTGGCTGTGGGAGGAACGCTTGGGAGAGAATTGTGGAGAAATGTAGGGGGGGTTATGAGGGGGAGTGTGGGTGTGACAGTGAGTGAATGTGCAGTGGAAACATGGTCTTCTATGCATGTCAACATGCAATCATGCGGGCATGCAGTTTCAAGGGCTGGCTTGTCTCTTCTGGCAGGGACTGCACTGATAGGCAGGTAGGTAGATATGTGTATGCTGCACTTATGGTTCATCTGTGACACAGACTGAGTTGGCAACTGTAGGGTTTGCTTTCGTGAAGGTGTCTAAAGAATGGTACAAGCGATAGGCTGGATGTTGTTGGGCTGAGAAAAGCCCGTAGGATCTTTTCAGGACTAAGATCGGGTATTGACGTAGAGATGTGATAGCGGAAGCGTTTAATGAAGAATTACTTGAACCACCTTGTACTGGTGTGTGAGAACAAGATAAGTTGATAATAGCAGGGAAGTACAAGGTTTTTATATGATTACAAAGGAATATGAGAAGTTCTATTTTAACTGTTTTTGCTGTTGCGGTTCGATACAGTGCCGACTCGGGTAACTGCTCTGTAACGAGTCAGTTATGTGTCCTTGCTGTCGCACTGTACGTTTCGTCAGGTCAAATGTCGGAGACCTTTGGCCTTCGCGCAACCTCTGACGGTTGCCTTGGTTGACTCGAGTGCTTCTTCGCTGTAGTCAGTTCCGTTTTGTGTCGAAGCTTCGATACGACAGAAGCGTTATAAATCACTTGTTTCCAACAGATGTTACGGTAGGCTTGTGTGTGCTGGCTGATAGGCTGGCACTTCAGTGTGGCAGAAGCTGTTGTGGCATGACAGCTGTAGTTTGTAGTCTGTAGGGCTTTGCTAGTTTCTTTTGCTGCAGCTGGGCACAATTGCTGGTTGTTTACTTACATGTAGCTTGGATAATAAATATCTTAAGGTGAATACCTTAGTGTAGACAGTTAGAGTTTGGCAACTCATTTTCTAGTAATTTCTTTATCAATGCTCTATTCCATCCATGCACATCTACGGTTCTAACTTCTTAGGGTGTCTTCCTGAGATGCCATGTCACACAAATACCCCGCACCACAAACGGGTGCCACTGCTGTTGTTGGCACTCCTGCTGCTGCTTCCCAACCCAGCGCCCTTCTCCTCCCCCTTCTCTTCACCCTTCTCCTGGTCCACACATCCGTTTCACCTGCCCAGCACCACTCACACCCTCACTCGTGACCGCACCGCCAGTAGCCATAACCCCACCAGTGCTGCCCATAACCCCAGTGACCCCACTCCCGCCTCCACACTCCACACCTTTCCTCTTCTTTCCCCTCTGCTCTTGATCGCCTTCCCTTCGTTCCCCTTGCCCCTTTCCATCCATACGCATCACGCCACTGTCACTGCCCACCCCACCACCCATGACACCACCCACCCCACTGCTTATGCCACCATCCATACCACCGCCCACTCCACTCCCCACCCTACCACCCATCACCACCCCACTCCCAACCCTGCCACCCAATATCACCGCACTGCCTACCGCACTGCCCACCCCACTGCCTGTGTTAGCAGGTTCAGCTCCACCCACTCCTCCACTCGTCCCTTCCACCACCCCTCCCCGTCTCCCTCCTCTCCTCCCCCTTCCCACTCCCCCCTGCGCGCTTCTCCTTCCACCCCTGCCTCTTCCGCCCGTCGCCCTCCCATCCTCCGCAACAACCACTCCCATCCCTTCAGCCCTTGCACTCTGCAAGCCCTGTATCCCCTGAATTCCCTGTATCCCCTGTATCCCCTGCATCCCCTGCATCCCCTGAGTCCCCTGCATCCCCTGCTGAGCGCCATTCTCGCCCTGCGCCCCTACAAACCGTGCATCCTGCAAGCCTTGCAGCCCCTGCACGCCCTGCATCTCGTGCGTACCTTCACCCCTTGCACCCTGCAACCCCAGCATCCCCTGTGCTCCCACAAGCCTCGAACCCTGCTCCCTCTTCTCCCTCTGCTCCCTCTGCCCCGCCTCGCTCTGCACTACAGGCGATGCGTCCCGCTGCATGACCGGTGACGTGGCTAGCTGTGCTGAGAGCATGGGAGCCCGCTGGGATAGCAACAACACACTGCCTTGCTGCGGTAACGGAAACCACGTTTGAGGGGGCTGAGCTGGAAGCGCCTTGGTCTGCTGTGTTGGATTTGCTCCCAGAATATCCCTCTGCTGCATATACAAGGGCGTGGGAGGCCGGTTTAATGAGGCAGGCGTGTTGCTGATACCGATGCTGTTGCTGATGCTGTTGCTAATGCTGCTACTGGCGGTCTGGTTACCAGTAGGAGGGTTACTGTTGCTGGTGTTGCTGGCGAGCTGGTTACCAGCACGGCTAGTGTTACCAGGCGGGATGGTGTTACTCTTAGTTCCGCGCCCCCCACCCCCTCTACCACGACTGCGCCCCCTCTTACCCTCCCCACCTGCTCCTCTCCCCCTTCCACCCGCTCCTCCACTGCCTTCTGACCCTCTCTTACCGTCCCCAACCGCTTCTCTGCCTCTTCCAACCCCTCCCTCACTGCCATCTGACACTTGGCTGAGTGATTCTTGGTTCCCAAGAGAATTGGAGATACGGTTCAAAGGAGTGGGATTTAGAGGGGTAATTAGTGGTTGGTTAGGGATAAGAGGGAAGCGGTTAGTGGGAAGAGGAGGGTGCTGGGGAAAATGAAGGGAAGCGGTTGGTACAACTTTAGAGCCAGCAGCACCACCACCACCACCAGCAGCAACCCCAAATGCAGTACTTGATCCGTTAGTGACTGCTCCATCATTAATAATCGCACCCAAACCCGGACCTGGATCCGAGCCTGACCCCAGGGCACGAACCAGAGGTCCAGGTGCCGAACCTACTGCAGGAGGCGGTTCAGGTTTGGCATGAGGGTCTGGCTTTTTGGCGGGAAGAAGAAAATAGAACCGTTTATCCCCCACCTGCAGCAGCTGCTGGGATTTTAGCGGAATCGGGTCGGATCCAGAAGATTTCGACTGCCCGTCCACGTACACGCCGTTCTTGCCGAGCACCTCCAGGCGAAATTCGCGAGCGGCGAAATCGTAGAAGATCCTCGCATGGTTTCGCGAAACGTTCATTCCGCCGCCGAGCGCGGAGAGATCGAGATCGACGGAGGACTTTTTGCTGTTGCGACCGAGCACGACGGAATACGACTGCATGAAATACTCGAAATCTTCGCCATGGAGCTTCGCGAAACCCGCGCGAATCTGCGTCGCGAACGGCTGCGACGGCGCCGGCGACGGCGACGGCGACTGCGACTTCGCCTTAGGCGGCGCTGGCGGCGGCGGAGGAAGCGGCGCTGGATGCGGTGACGCGGCCTGCTGATCGCCGTGCGTTGGCCGTTGTTGCGGCTGCGAGAGCGACGGTTCCGCCGGTAGCAGATTAGATGGGGGAACGGATTGTTGCGGGAGGAGCGGGAGCTGCAGCGAAGGCGGACGGAGGAGCGGATGCGGCTGCGGATGCGGCTGTTGCTGCAGTTGCGGCATGATGCAAGGGTCAAAGGCGGCTCCCGAACCTGACGTTACGGCTTGGAAGAATATTGGTGAAAAATATTCTTGAAACCTGCACCACATTTGTACTCTCCAGGCTCTAGCTGCAGAGTTCCGATCAAATTCAAATTCTGCAATTCACATGGGGGTTTGCTGGGATATCGGGGACTAGGTGGGGAAAGCGGAAGAGACGCAAGATGAAGCGCAATAGCGAGGATCGGTATATGAGGACCGTTATAGATTGTTGTTACGGGTGCAATGAATCTAGGTAGCGAGGATTGCACTACAAAATATGAGCGAAGGCATGAGCGAATACTTATACGCGAAAATATGCAAACGGTAACGTGGTGCGTGCGAGCTAGCTAGTGCTACGCTGGCGTGAGGTTCGGGCTAGTCCCGAAGCGTAGGCCGGCTCGGCTGCTCCAGCAGTACGGGGTTTGGTGAAACAGTGCGTGCGAAGTTGGCGAAGCCCCGTTAGCAATAACGGACGAACAATGGCTGCTGCTGTACGCGATGTGAACGGTCGCGGTAAGGAATAGTGAGAAAATTCCTTACACTACCCCCCCCCTCAAGAAGCCCCCTCCGCTACGCGAGTGCGTGTATATCGCGAAAACCCCGGCTCCTCAAGTACACTTGCAGGGCAGGGTGGTTTTCGATGTTGGCCAGGGGCACCCAGCTATCCTTAGTTGGCGTGCGGTCCTTCCAGCGAACGAGGAACTAGATGTTGAATAGAAAGAGTAGGGCCTAGGCTTAGTAGCCTAGGCCAAAGGGAGTCGAGAGAGTTTAGGCAAAAGAGTGGTGAGTTCACTATGGAGCGAGGTACAAATAACAAACAAAGCATGCAAAGAAGGTGCACCACCAACAAGTTTATAATAACTACACTAACTACAGCTACAGGCAGTTACAGATATATTCTAACACTAGATCCTCTTGATGCCTGTGGGGTGGCGAATCCGATGGCTCGGAATTTTTTCGGGCTCGATGATCGGCTCCGATGCTGGGCGAGTCATGGATGGCGGGCAGTGACGAGGCAGTTGGCTCGTGCTTGGGATGTAAGGGCTGTTGAAATATATTTACATATATTCTTTATAATTGTCAGCAATGTAGAGTGTAGTATATTTCATTTGCTGTAGGTGGTGCACCATGCTTCTCCTTGCTATATCTTAGTCAGAGGTCCACTGGTGATCTCCGATTGATCCTAGGGAAGGGTTACAGGCTCGTTGTCCTGGGGGGTTATGGGCGCACTGATCCGCTACTTAACAAGCCCTTTTATCCCAATGGTCTAGTGGTTGGGATTCTGACATGGTATCAGAGCGAAGGTCCCGGGTTCGAATCCCAGTGTGTGCACTTCGAGCATCCCAGTGCGGGGGGGTGTCAGAGGTCCACTGGTGATCCCCGATTGATCCTAGGGAAGGGTTACAGGCTCGTTGTTCTGGGGGGTTATGGGCGCACTGATCCGCTACTTAACAAACCCTTTTATCCCAATGGTCTAGTGGTTGGGATTCTGACAATCTTGTACTGCCCTTTCTTAGTAAACGATTCCTTCTCGACTTTTCCCTCGACATTCACCTTACGACCCTTGGGCCCACCACATGCTGTCCTGCGCGCCGCCCTCGTGCGGCCCTACTCCCGACGTTCGGCACCAGGAAAAAAACCCTGAAATTCCTGATTTTGGCAGTCCTTTTTTTACCTGCACTGAAAAACCAGTGTCGAGATTTTGTGGGACTGATCTTTCAGCCTTTTTTGTTAGGCCATACTGAAATTTCAGACTTTTTTTCCCAAGTATACTGATTCCACAGCGTTGTAACGAAACTAACACTGAAACCAATTCTTACTTGTTCCGTGTAGATTTGCCCGCAATTACAGGGAATCTCAGATTCCTGCGGTGCCAGCACTCCATTGGGCAGTTTCGCTGCAGCATAAAGCGTTGGCTAATCGGAATGAGGCAACCATGTGGTGCTTGAGGGCTGTGAGGGTTCCTACATGTCAGAATTATATTATAACTGCATGTAGTTATAGCCTTAGTGTAGTCATCCTAACTTCCTGCTTGGTGATGTACTCGCCTTTCCTACCCTAATTGTACTCCACTTTCTATAGTGAAATCATTCTCCTTCTCGACTTTTTCCCTCGACATTCATGCTAGCACCTAGAACCCAAGCCATGGTTCCTAATTCAACTAGCTATTCCGACATGCTATCGGAGTAGGTCGTTCCTAGGACCTAACATTCATGGGCCCACCACCTACTGCCCTGCTAGCTTAGGCCCCGGCCCGTCGCCCCTAGGCCCCGTCGCTCACGGCCCCTCGGCCCCGTCGCTCACGTGGCCCGTCGGCCCCTAGCCCCGTGCCCGGCCCCGTCGGCCCTTAGCCCCGCGCCCGGCCCCGTACCTAGCCCGCGACCGGCCCGTACCTAGCCCGCGACTGGCCTGTACCTAGCCCGCGCCCGGCCCCGTCTCTAGCCCGCGCCTTGCCCCGTACCTAGCCCGCGCCCGGCCCGTATCTCGCCCAGCGCCTGGCCCGTACCTAGCCCGCGCCCGGCCCGTACCTAGCCCGCGACCAGCCCGTACCTAGCCCGCGACCGGCCCGTACCTAGCCCGCGCCCGGCCCCGTCTCTCGCCCGCGCCTGGCCCCGTACCTAGCCCGCGCCCGGCCCGTATCACGCCCGCGTCTGGCCCCGTACCTAGCCCGCGCCCGGCCCGTACCTAGCCCGCGCCCAGCCCGTACCAAGCCCGCGCCTGGCCCCGTCCCTCGCCCAGCGCCCGGCCCCGTCTCTCGCCCGCGCCCGGCCCGTACCTAGCCCGCGCCTGGCCGCGTCCCTCGCCCAGCGCACGGCCCCGTCTTTCGCCCGCGCCCGGCTCCGTATCTAGCCCGCGCCCGGCCCGTACCTAGCCCGCGCCCGGCCCGTACCTAACCCGCGCCCGGCCCCGTCCCTCACCCAGCGCCCGGCCCCGTACCTAGCCCGCGCCCGGCCCGGTCCCTAGCCCAGCGCCCGGCCCCGTACCTAGCCCGCGCCCGGCCCTGTCCCTAGCCCAGCGCCCGGCCCCGTACGTAGCCCAACGCCCGGCCCGGTCCCTAGCCGCGCCCGGCCCCGTACCAAGCCTGCGCCCGGCCCCGTACCTCGCCCGCGCCCGGCCCCGTCCATAGCCAGCGCCCGGCCCCGTACCTAGGCCCCGTCGCCTTGGCCCCGTCGCCCCTAGCCGCGGCCCTCGTCGACCCGTCGCCCCGTCGCCCCTAGCTATGGCCCCTCACGACCTGCAGCCCCTAACCGCGGCCCCGTCGCCTCTAGCCTCGGCCCCTCGCGACCTGTCGCCCCTAGCCGCGGCCCCGGTGCCCTGTCGCATCATGGTGGGTAAGGGGGTGGCAAGAGGGGGTTCTTCCTGCCCGCATGCCCTGCAGTCGCACGCGCAGCTCCCCCCCCGCCCCCCTCCTACCCCTCCCCCCCCTCCATGGGGACGGGGGGGAGAGGGTGTGAGGGGGTGGCGGATGTGCCTCAGCAGCAGCAGCTGCCGCCACGCCTCCTCCTCTCTCTCTCCCTGCCGCACCTTGTGTTGGGAGGGGGGGGGGGGAGCTTGGAGGTCCAGGGGGAGGCAGGAGGGGATCTGCAGCACCAGCCCCCCTCGCCCCCCCTTTCTCCTCCATCCCCCTGCTGCGGATGCGGCAGTGGGGGGGAGGGGATCTGCAGCACCAGCCCCCCCCCCGCCCCCCCTTCTCCTCCCTCCCCCTGCTGCGGGTGCAGCAGTGGGGGGGAGGGGATCTGCAGCACCAGCCCCCACCCCGCCCCCCCTTCTCCTCCATCCCCCTGCTGCAGGTGCAGCAGTGGGGGGAGGGTATGGGGGTGGCGGGTGTGGGTGACCTGCTGCCGCCTCTCCTCCTCTCTCTCCCTGCCGCACCTTGTGTTGGGAAGGGGGGGGGAGCTTGGAGGTTCAGGGGGAGGCAGGAGGGGATCTGCAGCACCAGCCCCCCCCGCCCCCCCCCCCCTTCTCCTACCTCCCCCTACTGCGGGTGCAGCAGTGGGGGGAGGGGATCTGCAGCACCCGCCCCCCCCCCCCCCCCCCCCCCCCTTCTCCTCCATCACTCTGCTGCGGGTGCAGCAGTTGGGGGGAGGGGATCTGCAGCACCAGCCCCCCCCCGCCCCCCCCCCCCTTCTCCTCCATTCCCCTGCTGCGGGTGCAGCAGTGGGGGGGAGGGGATCTGCAGCACCAGTCCCCCCTGCCACCCCCCCCCCTTCTCCTCCATCCCCCTGCTGCAGGTGCAGCAGTTGGGGGAGGGTATGGGGGTGGAGGGTGTGGGTGACCTGCTGCCGCCTCTCCTCCTCTCTCTCCCACTGCTGCACATGTTGCTGTGTGGGGGGGGGGGGAGCGAGGTGTAGGGGGGATGAGAGCGGTTAAGGGGGACGACAGAGTGTGGCGGACGAAGCAGGCCCCCCCCCCCCCCCCCCCCCCCCTCATCTGCAACTGCCATCCTCTGCTCCCGTGGTACCTCCAGCTGCAGCCCTGGTCGCCACTTTGCTTGTCTTGACTTTCTGTTGCTGTTGTGCGGCAGGTGCTGCCGTTGAGCCCAGCTGTGCCGCCACCGCTTGTGCCGCACGCTC